ATAAACTCAAAATACTGGGTAGAAACTGACCCAGAACCGTGACAGTTGGTGGTGTAATGAGGTGGTGATATTCTCTTTGGGTCCTCTAGTACCAATTGAGGATCACTGAAACACGACAGCCAATATTGTTGCTAATCATGTCCATCTCTTTATGACCTTAGCCATCAGGAGATGGCTACACTGCCTCCAGCAGGATAATGTGTCACAGAGCTCAAAGCATCTTAAGTTGGTTTTTTGAACATAATAATGAATTCACTGTACCCAAATGCCCACAAAAGCCTGCAGATCAGTATCGCCAACAAATCTGCAAAAACTGCTTGATGCTATGATGTCAGTATGTCCCAAAATCTCTCACCAATATTTCCAGCACTGTCATGTAGACCCAAGCCATTTCTGCGGGCAACAGTGATCAACCCCAGTACTATTAAGGTGTAACTTGTCAAGGTGTAACTAAACTAATGGAAAACCCTGAAAACCATGACGAAACGTGCAGAGTTAAACCAAGTATGTACTTATGGAAAAGGGGCTTTATGGGCAGTGAGTATACTTGTGTTACTAATAGCAAAGTTGTGGTAAGCCATAACACTGAGTTAAGATGCATAGCATCATTAGTGGAGTTTAGTAATAGTGTATCTGGGCGAGTTCCATATGTAACTGCATCATTAGACTGTACAAAAAAATCCAAAAAAGCCCACTAGAGGATAAATCCTTGTTCTTACTGCAAGAAAATCATTAATAAGAAACTGGGAATAGTTATAAAAAGTACAGTGCATCTCTAGTTGACCTCAATTGATTTACCAAAACATAGCTTAGTTTGAGTCAATTACACTAACAGTCTTCAAAATAGATTAAAAATTCAATACCCTATTACACATGTATTTTTCTTTTCCTAAATTAGTTTCCTGTAAATATAACAGTTAATGTTGTTCAAAGAATGTTTACAATAAACTAAATTGACTAGATCTAAAATTACCTCTCTTAAAGATTTGGGTCTGTAGAGATTTAGACAGTAGAGTGTAAGGCAGACTATTTTATAAGCACTGAGAAATGTATAGATGTTTTTGGTCTTTCCCCAGAGCTGGTTAAAATATGAGAGCATTATCCTTTGATCAAAGCAGCAGGCTCACAGTCAAGTGCATACCTTCACATTCTCATGTAATAAGCAAGCACTACACACATATTCCTAAATCATAACAGCCTCCATCGGCGCCCCTGCAGAATATTCAGTGGTATATGTTGCATGAAGCTCTCCAACTTTGATGAATAAAAGACCAGAGAGATCTTCTTCCTAATTGTGTTATATTTACTGTATGTTGAAGAGCAACCAGAACAGAGGGAGAAAAGCGCTACCCCGGGCCCGACCACTCAAAAAAATAGCCTAGAATCAGTGTTTATTACTTTCATAGTGAAAGAAAAGAAAAAGTGTTTAAAGGTCCACATTTTCACATTTTTGTTGAATGATTTATTCAAACACTCGCTTGTAGAGAGAAGAATATTTGTTTAACAAGCAGCTGCAGTTCGTGTGAGGATGGCCTTTTTAAAGAGCACACTTTTCACTACTGGATTGATTGAATGCTTCCTTATGTGGGATGTATGAGTGTGTGTATTTGTTTTCTTTTTTCAGCATGTTCACGAAGCAGATGCAGAACCGGCATCATATCCCTAAATGCTTTGCTTTGCAGTTCTACACACTCTTCCACACGCCTTCGTCTCGTGGCATCTGGGGCGTCTCACTGGGATAACATGTTACATAATTAGCACCAAATTAACACTCAATTAGAGAACCCGTGTTGAGAGGGTGGGGACAGACTATCTTCAGAGAGTTTCAAAATCACATCAGAGCCACCACCACCTGGCCTACTGAGAACGCACTATATGCCACATGAATATAAAACTACAATATCCTAAATATATCTTAACTATTTAAACAGCTATGCTGCAATATTCAGCGACGTCAGGTGGTTAGAAGGGCGGGGGTGGTGTAGTTTGCACACTTGCGCAAGTCTCTAGCTTGGGGATACTGGGATTAATATTCTGTTGTTGAATCTTTGTGTTTTACTTTGTTTTCACTCACTAATTTCTTGTGTGCACTAACTTTTTACTGCATGAAGAGAAGAAGATCATGGTTTGGGTTAGAATACATGAACCCTGCATGCCGAAATATATAATGCTTATCTCATGCATTTAAGTGTGGCGCAAAGTGGTCTTTTACAAGCTGTGTGTGACAAAATGGGAATGACAGACCCGCTCTCAGTACTACTAAGCAAACCCTGTGCATATCAGAGTGGCTAACATCTTTGACAAAACCGTAGTGTTTGATGGCCTGGAATGAAAATGGACCGGTTTGAATAGGATATATTTTATGCTGTTTCAGCAAAAATCTTTGATTCATAAACTGAGCCACTTCAAACCAGGTACGTTATGATAGTTTTGCTCCCCGGTGACAATCCTCCCACTGTCTGGAAGGCCATTCTAGCATATATTGTAGGGAAATTCACTGACATGTTAGCGCCCTAAGCTAAAGCAGCTCACCTCTGGGTCTTCCAGGCTATAAAAACTGCCATATGTGATCAACCAGTGTCTTCCTTTCATCCACCTGTCATCACTTGTTTGTGTTTGCAACTTCAGCGCCTTCACATTGTTGCACACATCCACTTTCAGTGCTTGCATCATGATATTGCTTCAGCACTATATTGTTTTATAATAGTTAGCCTCAAGAACATTCACAAACTTTACAAAGAGGGCCTGCCTGGGTTTTGAACCCAGGACCAGCTTGCTGTGAGGCAACACGCCGCAGGCCCTGAGCCCCAGTACTTGTACGTGAATGTTGATGCAGATCTTTTTCTTTACACAGCCCACACGAGTCCAACAACCTGCCCCTCTATGTTCTGTATAGTAGTAAACTTTGCTCCTTCACTCTTCTACCTCCCTCTTCATCTTCTCCTCTGTAGTAAACTCACACAGCGCTCACCAGCCCTCACTTTTTACAAACATGAATAGAGTCTCAGGCACCCACACACACACATTCACGCCTCTGTTGGGGTGGGGTTCTTTATTTCATTAACAGCCGCTTGCACGCCAAAATTCATTATGCCAACCTTCTGTTCTCGTGCACCCAAGCATGCCAGCTAACGTGCGGAACAAATTTTTCTCTCCCCACCTCACCCTTCCTCCCTCACTCTTGCTAATAAGTATGTTTAGGATGTGATTCACCTGCATCAAAGGCTCCCTGTGAAGAGGCCCGCTTTGTATCACTGGTCCATGATTAGTCATTACTGTCAAATCCTCAGTGTTCCCCTCTGTTGCTATGCTTTGAAGGTGGGCATATTCAAAATGCAAATAATGCAGCTATCGATATCTCATGTCGCCTCATTTTTAGGGAATGTGATGTCGACTGTGCTTCTCTAGGAGACGTCACTCTATTGAGTGACTGCCAGATTATTCCCTTTTATCAAAGCTGAATAATTTGTTGTCTTTGACACAAGAGTTTTGTGAATTATATATACAAAAAAGGAGGGTAATGTGGCTTTTAATATTTTTCGATGAGGTAAGACGAAAAACCCTAAAAATGTGGTCTTAAAATCTGTATTTATGTACTATAATAATGCCTAAATAAACACTGATAAAAGTTCTGAAAGCCTCAGTATTAAAGACAATATTCAGTAAGGGTTCAGCTCAAAATCCCCACATGTGCTTCTGAATGACTGGTTGTGTTTCCCTCTTCCCTTCCCTCTTTGTATATATGTATATATAGTTGGTATAAAGTGTTGCATTCACCAATAGATTTTTCCTTTTTTGTATTTGAATGTCAGAGAATCATTTATCCTCTATAGTGACTGCCCGCCAACAAGCTGCCAACCGTCCTCCTTTTTAGACATTTGCCAACAGTGTTGCCTTTGTAAGAGATAAGGTGGCACCTTGGTTCCAGCTATGTTGTAACTTAAAGTTATTCTGAGTGGACAAAAAAGGTCCTTTAATCTCAAAGTAAGGCTGTACGAGGCCATAGAATTAAACAGCTAAATGCAATTGCCACTCGTGTTTTAAGTCTTCAGAGCTTTTGCTTGCTAATAAATGCATTTGTTGAAGGACTGCAGAGATGAGTAGCTCTTCAAACATGCTTGCAGTCTCCTTTGCTCACATGTCAAGCTCACGACTCCCATTTGCACGCATATTTGTCTTTCTCTTGTTCTACTTTCTGTTTAACAGTATGCCTTGTTAAGCTTCTGCTAACGTTACCCTCTGGCTTTGCACAAATATATTGTCCCAGATTTTTAGCACTGTGGTGTTGGTAATGGTGTGTGCATGAGTTTTTGTTGGATTGTAATTGATGGTTGATTTGTGGTCAGAGAGCATCACACATCCTGCAGGGAACATGTCAGGTCTTTAAAAGCAGAGAAAAAGACTCCAGCTTGCAACCGTTTAACCTCCACCAACTCCAGGGAGGTCAAAGCACTCAATCAGCACTTCTACCTTTATTAGCTTTGAATTCAGTGTAAAAATGCTGACAGGAGGGTGACTCTTGATGTAGTGCATGTATGCACTTGGTTGTTCGTATGTGTTTGGGAATGCATGTAGTGTTTGACAATTGCATTAGCCATTACTTTCCTTCAGACTTACCTTTTATGAACAGCAACAACAGCAGCCTTAGCATGATAATCGCACACTGTGGAATTCAGTTGGGTTCTACGAAAGAGTGTGGAAAGGAACATCAGTCATGCATGCAACAAAATAAAAAAATGCCTCATGCAAACCAGCATTATGATGTAGCCTAAGAGTCGAGCTGTAACACTACCTACTGTACTAAATTCCTTCAGTGGGGCAAAACCTTAAATGGGACTTTTAATGCTTTTTTTTTTCTGACTCCATATATTTATTTGTGTACTCTTTACTAGCTTTGCATAATTCGAAGTGTAAAATAATTCCTATATATTTATACTAGGCCTTAGTGCAGGCCCTTAGTTCATCATTTGTCTGAAACCAAGTGTTTTTGCTCCTCTAACGTTAAGTCTATTTTTTTGTGAGGACAAGATCATGACAAAATAAAGAAAAGCATTTAGATCCATCATTTGGCTCATAAAGACTTGTTGGAGATGTTTAATATAACAGTCCACCTTTGTGATATTTTATATATGACAGAAAATAAGGAAAGCCACAAAAGGTCAGGAAACTAACAGCATTTTATACAGTGTGTTTGCTGGTGTCTGTTATGAAGTTGTGTTCTCACTGGTTGTAAAATATAACTGAAATCTTCTGATGACACACATCATGCTTTCTTTCACTGCTACATGCTGTTTTATCCAGCCAATTTTAGGAAAATATAACAATAAACCTCACGATGAATGATGCATCCTTTTTATTTCTTGGAATAAAAATGTTGTTTTTGTGGGAAAAAAATCACAACAGAATGTTACATAGTTTGGCTTTAATTGCAAAAGATCAAGAGCACAGCTTGCGAGATTTCATTAGAGATACAAAGGCTGGGAGTAGGGCTCAATATCACAAATTTTGATCCTAGCCTTCTAATTGGAATTTTCAGTGATGTTCACAGAACAGCCTCAGTCATTTTAGCCTCGTTTGTGTTCGGTTACTGAAGACTGCAAAGAGGACTAAATTAAACACACCTTTTCCAAGTCTCATTAGGGTTACCACACCACTTTTTTAAACAGCTCTGCAGTAAAGTTCTGTAATTTTTCAGCTGTAGCTCAAATGTTTTGTTTTGGAATAACATATAGACTTGTTGCCTCACAAGTGACCTAATTCAACCCTGATTCAGATGGTGAAACATTATGTAGAGCACTGAGTGCAGAAGACTGCTCAGACGTTTTTATGAATGGAAGTTCAAGAACAGTGACCCTGTGCCATAATTCATCCAAATAGCACGCCAAAATGACAGCGTGCAACAGATGTTCCTTTCCTGTCATTGTACCAATAATATTCTAAGGGCGAAACTATAAAGACAGTCATCAGCTGCCACAAAGCCACATGATATTATTAAAAAATATTCATACAATATTTCTTTAAAGTAAAGTAACAGTGTGTTTTTCTCTACTTCATAAATACTGTACTTTTATGAGAAATAGTTTTCCTTATAAAAGATATTACATATCAACAAACATTAGATTAGGTTTTATAACTTTGTTTATTGCAAAGTATACTCTTTTCACATGGAAAAGAATGATATGCAATAAAAAAATAAAGTATTTTATGTATAGGAAACACAATCTTTTGGTACAGTTGCCTTTCCGATTCATGGTCTCACAACCGCAGTGCCATAATGAGAAATTAGGAGTCAGGGCCACAAAGGAAGTACAGAACGAAGTGATGGATTCAGTCCAGATGGTCACCAGTGCCGGCAGGACAGCAGGAGCTCTGTTAACACATTTCAACACTACTACAAACAGGCGCACAGCTAAAACTGTAACACTACCAACAATAAAGCTATAGATCCATTCTGGTGTTTACGCAGCCATATGCGTCTCCTAATAATGCCATTAATGACAGAACTCCATTAACAATTTTTAGAGTCTGCATGCTTTTTGGCAGATTTTCTGATTGTAAATTAAAACTGTGGGCAGATGTTGATGCAGTCACAGCTGTTAAGTTCATCATTAACATTTGCTCCTTTAACAACTGCTCAAAACACTCAAAACATGTAAAGCGATGCCTGTAAAGAAATGCTGGATTCGATTATTGTCTAAACAGTCACCGCTGGCCATGCTTCCAATGTCAAGGAGCAGATGAA